TCCCAGAACCTATGGAATGTGAAGCTGACGACAGCTGGTGGAGGTCCTGAGGTCTTGGGAGCAGGGCTCTAGGGCCAGGGGACAGCGGAGGCATCATCCACCTCCAAACAGTTCCTCAGCTGTTCAGAAAAGACAGAGGTGGGTAGAGGGAGAGGGAGGCTCAGCCCACCCTTTCCTCTTCTGTGTGTGGTTATTTATTTAACCTCTGAGGGCTTCCTCGCCTATAAAATGGGACTATGATGCATGCTTCAGCAAACTGTGAAATCCAAGTGAGTGGGCTCTCAAGTAGATGCTCGTTGACCACGAAGTTCCCTTCCCATTGGCTGATTTGCGAGATTGGGGTTCAACTCACTGAATCCCAGAGAAGATGTGATGGGGATGAAGGGAGGAGGATGTTGTGGTTCCCACAGCTCCACATCAGGCTTCAGAGGACATGACACCTCACGATCGCATAAAACTCAGCCAAACTTTCTTATCTGTGACATTTTCAGAAATGAAAAGAGGAGCCAAGGTACAGAGACTCTGATCTTTATCTCCACTGTAAGTTCCAAGACCAGGAGCTGATGGAGTTAGGAGGGTTGTTTTTGCAGACAGTGTGGATAACACCAAGGTGGCCTGGCCAAGAGCAGCTGGGTCCAGGTCTCAGTACCTACGGAAACATATACATTACCTGGCACCTGCCTCTTCCTAGAAACCTCTATCTCCAGAATATAAAACCCCAACCAACAGAACTGGCGAAGAAATGAGGCCCAGAAGGTATCTCCTGCAACCCTTTATTTCATGTGGTTTATTGAGAGAAAAGCAGAGATGACACCAAAAGAAATAAAGAGAAGGTGATGAGTTAAAGTGATCAAAGCATTGTGCGTTTACTTACAACTCAACTAAACAAATTCTAGTTCCTACACAAATATTCGGAGGACTAAATGAGCAATACAATACTTTTTTGAGCTCTTTGTGATCAAATGCTTTGCCGTTAGAAGTTATATTCCTGGGGAGTTGATATCAGAGATGCTTGTTCCTTGTCAGTAAACTTAAGAAGATGCCAAAGCTGTGTACATTTAAATCACACAAAACATTCCCCCAAGCTGTCTAGTCTCTTGACAGCCCCCTTTCACTGAGCTCCATGGTCATGGAATATAAATATCTTTATCTTAACAGCACAGGCTTTTGAAAATTTGACATAATAGGATTTCTTCGTCACAAGGCATATCAAACATCATTGCAAACTAAGTCTATTTTATTTTTAATCAAGACTGAATCAAAGGGTCTTTTCTTCAATCTTTTAGACTTTCTATTTACACTTGATCTCTCTGACCATCCTGCCAAACGGAAGCCCTGAGAACTGGTCCAGTCACTCCAAGACGCAGCATCTCTCTCTGAAGTGTTCTTGGAGGAAAGGTGAGAGAACCATGTGGACAGGTAAAGCAATTAAAAATTAACAGATACTTGACAAGTGAAGGGACTGAAATGGAGACAAAAGTGACAGTGATGCTATTAATAGTTTGTTCTATGAAGCTCTAGTGCAATGTCAAGCTAGTGTGAAAGTTTAGCCATTTTTGTGGTTTTCTCTCTCGATCCCCAGTGCTAGAACAGTATGTTTCTTGAATGAGTAAATGAATGACACATTAATTCATGAATGAACAGTAATATTGAGAAAGGGAAGAAATCTATTATAGTCAACAAATGGGCCCTGGAAGACACCCCCTTTGTCTCCTGACCCAGGGAGCGTAGCCCACAGTTGAAGCAGAGTCCTTAGGCCATGGGCCCCGGGGGTGGCCACACACCTTAGAAGGCATTTCAGCATCAACAGCAATTCTTTGGGCAACTTGAATCATTTACTTCCATAATACGCTGCTCAGCTGTTGTGATCTCTGGGGATGCTCTCTTCTTAGAATCTCTGCTTCCTGTGTTAGCTGTTCTTCTCATTTGGAGAATTAATCCGCATTGTCTCCACTGTCGGGCTCATCCTGACTTCCTTCTCTAGATAACAAGATCCTCAAAGGTTGAGACTGTGTTGTATGCTGCTTTTTGTGTCTAGGTCACTGTATATTCCGCAGCTGAGTACATAGAAAACAACGACTCAGTGAATGAAATTGATGAACACGTACCAAGGCTTGAAGAGAAGGACATGAGCTGCTGGGTTGGATGACAAAAGCCACGTCACTCCTTGTGCTTCAGGCCCCAGCACAGAGGCACAGAGGCGCGCCTCCCTCCAGTGTGGGGGCCCACAGCGGTACACAGGCACCCGTAGCCCCATCCCAAACCCCGCAGCAGCTGCGCTGTCTGCTCTTCTTTCGCGGCTCTCGTTTGTTTTAAGGACAAGCTGGCTTGTGTTGCATTGGGTCTTCCATCCTGGGGAGTGTTTCACAGCTTTGCACACATCCCCAGACCCCAGGCTAATGAATAAGGGTTGAAAATACACTCAGATGTCATCATGGGCAACGGAACAAATGTCAAACACCGTCTGCAGGTCCTGACTTGAGGCAGCGGAACCCCAGGCTGGAGCGAGCTTCCACTTACAAGGACTCTGTATGGAAATAGGTGGGCGGTTGGCTGAAGAGATCAACGGAATTTCCCTCCTGCTCTGTGCCTTCTCTGTTCCCACCTCTGGGGATTCTTGAAGATATGGTGGGAAATGTCAGCATCAGATGCAGGACTCTATCTGTCCCCAGGTCACAGGATTCACCTGGGATTTTGGCAAGACATGCCAGGTCTCCACGGTTTACTTTTAGAGTCTGGAAGGTGGACAGACAATCCACAATTTGTAAGAAAGTGGACAGACAATCTCTCTCCAGAAGAGAAAGGGCCCTCTCGGGCTCCAAGATGCAGTCCCAGCGTGGCTCAGGCAGGTGTCAAGAGGTAAGTCCTGACCCTCCGTTGCAACAAGGACTCTGAGGAAAGCCATGACTGTGTGTTTTCTGGAACTGTCTTCCTCCGGCTTCACAGGAGGCTTCAGCCCTGTTAGGAAAAAGACAACGCAGAGGAGGAAAGTGGCCACGAGATGGCAGCAGAAGGTAAGAAAAGGGATTTGCAAGCATCACAGGGAGAAGCTTGCTGCCCCTCCATTTTGCTTTACATCTTTAATGAGATATGTGAAGAAAATGAGTCCCTTACATGCCACACACAGATGCTACAACATATGGAGAGATGCCGCACAGCAATATTTCTCTGGTTATTAAACAGGAGGCACCTAACCAGTCATTCACTGCATCATCATGCCGAGCTGTCCTTTGTGTCCTGGATACTGCTGTTGACAAGGTAATAACAGGAGAAAGCAGTTGAGAAGACTGATGTGCAGACCTGGGCCTCTGGGCTTGCAGCTTCGCCAAGCCAGGATGCTGGCTGGATTGCCAGGAAGCAGGAGCTGCCCAGCCCAGCGGGGCCACCTTGCCAAGGGGCACAAGCCATGTGGCTTCTGCTGCAACTCAGCCCAGGCAGGGCGCGGACTGTTCTCTGGTCTCCCTGGCAGCCCCCGAGGGCTCGCTTGTTAAGAACCCGATTACCACCAGACAGCTCTGGAGGCTGACCTTCCAACCACAAACCCCAAGTGGGAACGGGAGCTCTAGACATTTTAAAGAACAAGACACGCTTGCTTTTCTGGCAGCACTGAAGGCATCCAGGGTAATGAAAATGCATTCAGGGACTTCCATGGTGGTCCCAACGCTAAGCCTCTGCACTCCCAGTGTGAGGGGCCCAGGTTCGATCCCTGGGCAGGGAACTAGATCCCACATGCCACAGCTAAGACCTGGAGCAGTCCAACAAATTTTAAAAAAGAAAAACGCATTCAACTGCACACCGATGGGGAATCCATTTCCCATGCCTCCCCAAGCAAAGGTCGGGAATCTGGTCCTGGTAACCAGGAACGTTTTCCCTTGGCGGGCATGTCTCACATATTCTCCTGGGAGACTGCTATCAGGGCTGGGGGCAGGCAGGTATCGCTGTATTTTTTTTACTATATGCCAATCCCATACCCACTTCCATGCCCTGTGTCCAACCACCCCCGCTGATCATTCCACACTAATTTCCCCACTCTCTCAAACCCAGGGGCTCCTGGAAGCCTCAGTGGTGACTGAGGAACTGAGAACAGGTGAGTCAGCCCAAGCAAGCAGCCCACTCCACGGCGCAGAAAGAGACTTGTCATCCACCCTAAAGTCCAAACTCCCAGGACTTCTCAGAGTCACTCACGAAACCCATCAACATTCCTGAAATGAAGGTAAATAATACAGTCATTTTTGATACAGAGAAACTGAAATGCACAGCTGACGTATGGCTTTGGCTCTCCTAGTTCCCATCCCTTTCCTATAGGTCTGAGCCTCTGAAGCTCCAGTGGGAATGTAATAATAGCAAGGTTCACACCGCTGCGATTCCCCTCCATCTTTCAGAAAGAGATTCTATGTGCTAGAAATCCTCACAGGTCTGTGTGACCTTCCACAAGTCGCTTAACCTCTCTGTGCCTCAATTTGCTCATCTGTAATTTGAAGGGCTAGCACTGGATGGGGACTAGGGCCTCTTCCGGCTCTTCGATCCTGGGGCTTTAATTTCTCCAGTCTCTGCCAGCCATCTCCAACAATAGCCAGACTCCACAGGAGGGAGCAGAATTTCCTCCTCCGGCTGATAAGAAATGTGGTCATGGCTGGAGTCTTGTCGACCTCCTTTGTCCTCAGAACAAAGGAGACCGGGAGGTTTCAGATGTTACTGACACTAACAGCAGTGGGGCCTGGAGGCAACCACACTCCTAGGGAAGGACCACACAGAGTTGTCCCCATGGGCGGTGCAGATCCAGAGTCAAGACCCCAGGATGTTTTAATAACTATTTCTCAGTGGGGAAAAAAAAAAAAAAGACTCGTTTCATTCTGCACAAGGGTCTAGGGACAAATCCAAGTCTCCCAGGAGGAAACTCCTCTCGCCTATAATGGGGGATTGGCTCGGCTCAGCTGCACTGACAAAGGCTGAATACAGCATGCAGTGGTGCGGGCGGCTCCCTGTAGTTCCATGTGAACATGACTCACAGCGGTTATGAATATCAAACCTCCTTTGATGTGTTCCCGGACATGAGGAGCAGCCACAGAGGGGAGGAGGTGGACCCTGGATGCCGGCTCTGCGGGGCAGTGTGCGGAGGGCCTGGACACATCTGGCAGCATCCTGAAGCTCCAGGAGAACTTGGGGCGGGTAAACTCCCTGACAGCAGCATTCCCTTCCATCCATCCCTCTCCCTCTCTCTCCCTCTCTTTTTCTTCCTGTCTCCAGCTACAGAAGAATGAGATCCTCCAAGAATTATGACCTGTTTTTATACCTTCACCCTTCCCGGGGGGGATAACAATTCACTTCCCTGAATAAAACTGGTTTTATTGAGCACAGAATGAAGGCACCCCCTCACTCAGCATCTGTGCCAATTGCTTTAAAGCCATAGTCCTGGCCCCAGTCAGCCAAGCAGGATTTTCCTCTGTTATGGCCTTTTCTAGACACTCAGCCTTTCCAGTGCTGCATGGTACCTTGTTCTCCTAGTAGGTTCCCAGTGATGACTGAACACCAAGCTTCCCAGTCTCTCTCGTTCTGGTAGCTCCCAAGACTGGGTCAATTACGACCATCCAAAGCAGGAGACCGAGCCCTGCCAACTACAAGGTGAGCGCCCAGACTGGATCAAGAAGAGAGGATCAGCCACCTCGTGTCTGTTTCAGCTGAAAGCTTTTTCACATGTGGACGGTTCTCCCATTTCTAGGCAGGGTTCAAGAACAGGTTTGGTCCCTGGAAATTTGGACAAAGACTTTACAGTTATAGGAGGTGGCAAAGGGTAAACGGGAAGGGAATCTGTTCATCTCCATGCCTGCATGCTTTTGGTTTTCTGAAATGAGGCTGATTTATTTTGCAGCTAAGTTGGACTTTGACTGAAAAATTCTCATGTGCCCAGAGATCTCATGCATATATACACATGGAAATAATAAAATAACTACTCTTTACTGAGCACTGACCTCGTGCCATGCACAATGCCCAGGGCTGCACAGGCACCAACTCTCCAAATCTTCACAGATGCTCTGCCTGGGAGCAAGGAGTGGGGAGTAGGTATTAGTATCCTTGGTTTACAGATGAGTAGCCCAAGTCTCTGAAAGGCTAGGAATTCTTCCCAAGATTGAAAACTTAAAGTAAAAGGGCTTGGATTCCAAAGCATCGTCTCTTACCACTGTGCTATGGCGCAATATGCTTATCACCAAGGGCCCTGCATTATGGAGGAGGGCAGGGAAGGCACAGTTCTTGACTTCAGAAAGCTTCCGTTTAACTACATGGCAGCACACACAGAGCTACACACATATGCACAGAGTTACTGTGACTCATGTTGTCTTCTAAGAGCCCTGTAGCTAAAATATTCATGTTCCATCTTCATTATCTTGCTCTCAGACTCCTGCCCTGGATTCACAGATTGAACTTTCTTCCTGTAGTAAAGACTGGAGTCTTCTACAGTAGGGTTGTGGATGCTTGGATTTTAGAGGCAACAGTGTGAGCAAGTCAACCACCAAGATGCATTATGCTACCGTTACTCAGCTCCTGAGCTGTAACTGTTTGTCTGGTATTGCTTTTTCCATCTGATCAGGAAGTTTCTCTAACCCATTTCTCTCTTCAGGGGAGTAGGGGAAGACAGCAACAAGGGTAGGGGCAGGGAAGATTTCAGGCTTGAAGATTCAGGAAGCCAAGTCATAGATCAACTAGAAGAAATGAAGCAGGGGGAGATTCAGGGTACAGTGAAATTCCATTGCTTCCATGACCTTGAAAGGTAAGCGATGATATATCTAGAGGACACCGTGTGCTAAGATGTGCTAACATAAAAGGAAGGGAACCTTGCACTAGTTGTAGACTTTGCCAAGCACACACTGGCTGCCAAGACTACTTCAGCCTTGACTCTTAGATCCGTGATCTGGGACATGGGACAGTGTTCTACTGTGCTGGACATCTTCCAGTGACATTGACCCAGTAGAGGGCTGGGAGGAAGATTTCTTGCTTCTAAGAGAGAAATTTCCCTCCAAAGTAGAGTTACTGAACTGCCCATATGTAGGATGTGGGGAGACTGAGAATACTTGAGTCCCAGAAGACATGCTGAGGACAGATGTGTCTTCCTACGGGCTAGATCCCTTTGTAAATCTAATGTTTGGAGAATTTGCCTCTGATTTCATTTCAGGAGATTTGTGCTTGTTCCCTGACTGCCCATCAACCTGAAAAATAACAATTCTTGATCAAAGCTTTCTGAGAACCTACACCAAAGAGGATTGAGAGGACTGGAGTTGCATCTCTGGGCGATCACTGCCCCTCCAGTATCACTGCACTTTCTACACCCCAAGGCAGCCTGGTCATCTTGTCCCCCAAAATTCAAATTGGAAGACTGACATGGTTTTGATTCTAGTTCTCTCTACACATACAACTCCAGGTGCCTGGTCATTAATCAATCTTAATTCTCACTTTAATTTCTCAACTGTGGCTTCCAATTCCTGCTTTCCAAACCTCATCTAAAGGAGTCATTCATCGTCCCCTGATGAATGGGCAGGCACCTCAGAAACTCGCTCTAGGAATCCGTGGTTCCCGCATGCCTACATTTGACCACTGGAGGGCAGTGCTGGACCAGCCAAATCTCTAGGTGCGCTGCTCCATCTTCGTCCCCACCTGGGCCGTCATTGTAGGATATAGTCTCTGGTTGGAAGCCAAAACCAAAGACCACTGGAGCACCTGAGAGCACAGCACGGTCAAGCCTATTACAGCAGCTCCTCCAAACCTGGGTCATAGAAATAAAAGGCAGTTCACCAGAAAGCAGATTTGGCTCCAATCCCCTGGGAAAGATTGAGATGACAATTTGCCTCATCGTGTCATTAATCAGGAACCATCCGTCTCTCTGAATGGGGATGCAGAGTCCTACCTATCCTTACCCACTCAGGTGTAAGCTCCTTGAGGGTAATGTCTTAATAAGCTCTATATTCCCGGCAGTAAACACAGTGTTTGACAATAAATGTTTGTTCAATGAATGGGTAGAAGAAGCATGCATACATATATACGCATAAATTGGAATTGGCCATTTTCAGATCTGTTGCTGTTTTCCAGCTCTTATAATACCTAAACTTTAAGCCATCAATTAGTTGCTGTGCATTTTTAGTCCTGAAGACAGCCAAGGATAATTAGGTTATTAATTAAAGCAGTGGTTGTCATTGTACAAACGCTATTTCAAACACCACTTCAAGAGTTTCAGATATCTTACTTTCAGAAGTCCTTCGTTATATCACCCATGTGTCCTCAGATCTCATCAGCCTGTGGATTACAAAATACTGATATCGTTTCATGAATATTCAGTTTATAACTAGCAGGCTCTATCATGGTAATGTGGAGCATCCATTCTGTCCCCAGGGGATTTATGGTCATTTCATCCCACCATGGGTCCCCATGGGGCTCCACAACTTCACTGAACCAGAACTTTCCTTCAGGCCCCTTGTGTCATCCCACAAGACCCTTCTCCAGGCTGCTGTCCCCTCTGCCTACTGCCAATGGATTCCACCTGGCGATGGACACAGCCTGCTCTCTTAATCATTCAAAGCACAGCTAAATGCTAGAAGAGAGAAGGAAATGCACATTTTAAGACCCCAAATCCAACCTCTTCCTGTCTCCCTGCAGACTTCCACATAGCAGGGACCAGTCAGTGCCCCCAGTAAAAATCTACAGGCCTCCCACATCTTCATGTGCAGAGAGTCCAAAACCAGCTCTTTTGCTGCCCTGGGATGACTGACAGTGAGACACACTACTCCTTCCAGGGAAGCTCTTCACCAACCCTCCACCATCTCAGATAGAGGCTGGTCTTCATGGCCCAAAAAGGCAAAATCGGTGTTATTAGGTCTTAAAATATAATGTATGAGACACCAATAGCTTTGACTATATTCATATTTGGAGGACAATATGCCCTCCACTTCTAACTTGAAAGATACAAATTAATTTTTCTTAACAGAATACTTTTTTAATTGATTTATTTTTAATTGAAGGATAATTGCTTTAGAGAATTTTGTTGGTTTCTGCCAAACAACAGAATATTTTCTATCTTAGTGTACATCTGAATTAAGTTGTATGTGGACTTCATAATTTTCCCCAACAATGAGTGGATATTTGTTTTAGATGTGAATAAACGCATTCTCAGCCTTACTCTAGTTTTCTCAACAACAGTGCTCTAAGTTCATCTAGTGTCTCTAGTCTACCAACAAAACCCTCTCAGCCTCAACAATCTTCAAGGATCAGTTCTACTGAAAGAAAAGAAAAGATAGAAAGGAAGGAAGGAAGGAAGAAGGAACACATCACTATAAAGCAATTATCCTCGGGTTTTAAAAAAAATGGAAAATGAAAGAAAGAAGGGAAAAAGGGAATGAAGGAATAAAGAAAAGAAATACCCCTTTATAAAAACACCTAACTTAAATTTCTCCCTACAATTCAAATTTAGGTCTTCAGGGTCTTCATTCTTCTCACAAAAATGTTGTAAATCAAAGCAAACTCTCCTTAGAGCAACTGGAAAAAAAAAATTCTTTCTAAAATAACATTTTCCTGTACCTGTTCATGGGAGTTGAGTTCATCATATGTCAAGCATGTCCCAGCCTGTTATTTTTCAAGATGTCTTCAATATGATCAAGGGACAGGCCTCTAGGGCATCATCTCTGTTCTATACCTGGAAAAAACAATGTACAGAAATTTCCATAAGAGAGGAGATTGACAGTCAATACATAAGACTCAAGAGGCAAGGAAAGCCCGTAGGGTTAATGCACTGCATTCAAATACAGACCTGCCTCGGGGCTCTGAATATCCAGGTCCAGATCTTCGATGGGTGGATAATGCCTGAGGCTTGATACCAGGTCTGATGTCCACGTTTGACATCTATGGCAGACCTTACACCCTCCTGCCTTGTGATTTTGAAAAACTCGAAATCTCTCCTGAGTCCTCACCTACTGACACTGTGACCCACGTGAGAAGTGTCTGAGATTATTTTCCTTGAAACTATAATTCCTTCCGACAACTCCAACACCAGGCAACCCTGGTTACTAACTGGTGGATTTAATTTTTCACACTGTGGCAGCAGTGTAGGAAATCTTAGTCAGTCCCTCCAAACCACACACACTGGGTTACTCCCTGAAGAAGACAGTGACACTACAGGAACTTGTTGA